AAAAAAAATTGCATTTGTTCTTATGCGATGTTGATAGAACTCAGGGAGTTTAGAGAAATTAATCATATTATAAGTATGGCAGTTGTAAGCATCTGTCATCGGAAGTTGTCGGATTTCAAAACAACATTATTCATTTATGTGATATTCATGATATATTGTTACATTGTATTCGGGATATTTCATCATATTGTATTCATGATGCGTCATTAGATAGAAAAGCTCGTAGAAGACGTCGAGCATGAGTAATCAACGGGGGTCAACAATGACCGGTAAGCGGTGGTCAGTGATAGTGGTAGCTCCAGAAGACGGGAGTTATCGTTGAGAGTTCAAAACAATATTATTCGTGACACCATATTTGATATGTGTCATTATACCATATTTGAGATACATCATTATGTAGTATTTAGGATATGTCATTCGATAGCATAGTTTGTCGACAATGACAAACAAAGACATCTAATAGTGGTTAATGACGACCGGTGGGTGGTGGTTATGGTCGGCTGCAAATAGGTTGATAGTTATCGATGTTACTTTGATCCAATGTTATTCATTATATCCCATTTTGGATGCGTTGTCACAACATACTCATGACACGCCATTACGTCATATTCGGGATACATCATTATATTGCGTTCATGACACATCATTAACCAACAAAGTTCACTGACAATGATGAGTGGCGGGACTGACGGTGGTCTAAGACTTTCAAAGACTATGAAAACTATAAGTTATTGTTAGGTCTTTCCCTCCGACAGATTTTGAGGCAATATTGCTTCCACAGTATACACTACTGTAACTTGTCACATCTCACATTTAAGTCAGAAGATCTCATTTTAGGACCCGTCCATCCTTTGTACAAAATCTTCAAGAGGTGAAGATGAGTTTCATTTGCCAGCTGGATGGTGTATATCATTGAATGATGAAGCATAGATTTAGCATCCCAAATTTCAAGAATGTATATTGGAATGACAAGTAATAGACCGAGTATATTATGTCTCTTAGCCATCAAGCAAATACAAATTTCTATAAGCGGAACTTCATTTCTTACAAGTGGCGCCAAAGTGTCTTGTGTTGAAAGATTTGTAATAATTGAGTGATAAATAATTAACGTATTAGCATTACACATAGATTCAACATAAACAAATAATAGAAATATAACGAAGGAGGACACTGATATTTTTTCACCTGAAAATTTTGTGAACTGAGAATAAATTTTGGTGCTTGGCCAAGTTAAGTTAATACATTTTGTGATTGTAAGTACTTAAGTCCACTATTCTTTTTAATTATAAAAGATGAAATGCAAAAAAAATTATATAGCCATAATTGGGCTATAACAAATGTGCTTATTTGTTTTAATAGTAATAATTAGCTACGAAGACTGTAGTTGGTCATAAAGACTAGTCATGACCGTAATTGTAATTGATCACATAGTTCATTGTTGGTAGTTGCAATAGCGTTTGTTAGTTACAAAGGTTATAATGGAAAATTGCAGTAGCAAATGAGTATATAGGTTGTAGTTCGTAAATGTAAGAGCATAAGTTGGTCGCATAGAACATAGTGATAAGCATTAGTGTCCACGAAGACAATTGTCGTAATTTACAGTAGTAATGATCATATAGATTATGGTTTGAGCTACGATCACAGTTCGTTACATGAGCCATAGTTTGTCACATGTATCATAATTAGTAGTTACAATAATATTTAACCATATAGATTATAGTTGGAAGTAGTTGTTGTACCAAGTCATATAGATCGTAGTTAGTCACACAGGTAATAATTGACTGGTGCAACAATATCAGCTATCCATAGAGTCAATTGTTGGAACTTGCAGTAGCAATTGTCCACATAAAATGTAGTTAGTCACATAAATTGTAGTTGGTAGTTATAATAACTTTAGTGGCCATATATTGTAGTGAAAATCTGTAGTCAACCAGTAAGTTCGTGGTTGATAAATGTAATATCGTTAGTTGGCCACAATTATAACATTTGAAAGCTATAATATCTTCAATAGGCCACAAAGACCATAGTCGATGATCGCAATTGCGTCAATTGGCCACATAGATTGTAGTTGGAAGCCATAATAATGTTAATCGACCATAGAGGACGCAGTCGATGACTACAATAGTGTCAGTTGGCTATAGAGGTCATGGTTGACAATTACACTATTTCTCTCAAGGAGAATGGGGTTACAATTTTACAGAAAAAAAATTGCATTTGTCTTTGTGCAACATAGATAAAGCTCAAGGATTTTAGAGAAAGTCTTCGTATCGAGTATGACGATTGTAAGCAACTGTCACCGGAAGTTGCTGTCGGATTTTTAATACGACATTATTCATTTATGTGATATGCTTGATGTATCGTTACATTGTGTTCAAGATATTTCTTTTTACTATATTCATGATGCATCATTCGATGAAAATGTCGAACACGAGCAGTCAACGACGACCAACAATGACTAGCAGGTTGCGGTAGATGATAGCGGCAACTATAGAGGCTGGGAGTTATTGTTTAGACTTCAATATAATATTATTCGTTACACCATGTTTAAGATGCGTCGTTACAACTTATTTGAGATACATCATTATGTTGCATTCATGATAATTCATTAGCTAGCATAGTCTGTCGACAATGGCAAACAAGGACATCTAACAGTGGTTTGACGACAACCGATTGGCGATGGTAAGGGCGGTTAGCTACTATATTGGTTGAAAGTTACCGACGTTACTTTAATACGATGTTATTTGTTTCATCACTTATGGGACACATTGCCATGACAAGTCGTTACATCGTATTTGAAATGCATAATTACATTTTTTTTACGATGCATCATTAACTGGCCGAGTTAACTTACAATGGTGAGTAGGGGGGTTGGCAATGGTCGAAGATGTTCAACAACCATGAAAGTTGGAAGTTATTTTCAGGTCTTCCCCTCCAAGTGAAAAGAACAAGCCTGTTTGTAGCCCCTAAATGAGAAGCATTATAGTCGTTCGATAACTCTTATTTGATATAACTGGTTTTGTCTCATTGAGACGATTGGTTTCACTAAAATTTTTTCAAAATTATAGTTTTATGTAATATTGAATTTGAATATAAAATACTCATTGCTCAAAAGAAATATTGAATTTGTGTCAAATGATGATTTTTTTCATAAAATTTAAATGTTATTGATATAAATATCCCCATTCCAACATAAATGATATTTTATTTCACTTGCATCTACTGCATAAAATAATATCCACAAAGCCGGTTTGAATCAAAGTTAACCAATTGCCAAAAAAAGGAAAATAAAAAAGAACAATTAGGCCATATATTCCCTCATAAAAATAAAGTAATTTTGTAATTAAGACAGGTACCAGTGTTATTTTTCTAATTTAATCAAGCCTCCTCAACATTCACCAACCAATATTTCTAGCTCTTTTTATGTATCAACCGTTCAATCTATTTTAAACAGCCAAGATCTAAGTCATTAAATCCATAAATTTCTTCTACGGCAATTTCGAACACATTAAACGGACAAGATGTCGATTTACACAATCCATACGACTTTGCCTGCACAGGATATAGGGTGGAGGGAACACCGTTCCTTTTTTCTGAACTATTAAAAACCTTCCCTTTTTTTAAGCTGCGACCACCGGAGTCTCTTCTCCTACTTCGTCGCTTCGCCTCTTCTTCTTCTTCTTCTTCTTCTTCTCTCAATCTTTTACCGCGAGAGCTTTCAAGGGATCGACCTAGAAGAGCCAAGTCATTGCCGTCATTGTCTTCGAGAGGGTAAGAGGCTTCTGGCCAATTTTTCTTCGATCCGATGTTATTTTAGGAGCTGGTGCGAATGCTTCGCTTCATTTATGATTTATGCTGGCACCAGGTTTCGTTTGCGAGCTCCTTTCGTTGTTTTTGTTTTGTTTTGCCTCGTATATTGCTGATGTTGATATTTGGATGGTAGCAGAAAACCTGCTTTTCTTCCATTCTTGAAATACGGGGCGTTGGCTTTTCTGCGCTGAAGTTTGGGTTTCTGGAGAGTGCGGGTAATGGTTTGATCGATTGTTTAGGGATTGTAATGTTCGGCTTAGCCTCTTGGATTTTATATGCTTGTGCAGGGGTTTAGGGTTTATCTTTACTTTGTAATCGTGAACGTCGTTGTTAGGGTTTGCTCATTTTTCGAAAGTTTTGTCAAGCAGGATGCTTTTGAATTTGAGATTTTATATTATTTATGGCCTGCTTTATCTTCTGCCTCAAGATCTGCTTTATCTTCCGCTCGTGCTCATGGAAGTATTTGTTGTTTTGTTCCGTACCAATGCTTTTATTGCGATCAACAACTTTTTATCTGGGGCATTTAATGTTTTTTTTTTTTTTTTGGATAGCACTATGATAATCTGATTTTTTGCTCGTTTCACTTACAACCGCTGGTTTTACAGTTTTATTTCATTTGATTTTTGCTTTACAGAGGTTTGATTTTAGATGAGTGATTGAAGAGGCGAAACGTTTGTTTGTAATTTCTTTGTCCCTTTTTACATTAGGGGTCCTGTAATGATGGCTTGATTCTCCATCCTTTATATCCTGTTTATTCTATTATAACTATTGCTCAGTTACGGTTGTGTGGCAGCATTTGATGACTTACGCATAGTTTTGAAATCAAAACATGATTTTTTTGTATAGATTATTGTAATTTTTTTCTTTTATGTAATTGGACGCAGCTTACCTATGGTACTAAAAGTATATTTTTTTTGGGCTAAAGTTGCGGCTGGCTTGCTGTTTGCAAACTGTTTTACTGCCTTGCTATGGATGTCTTATTGCTTCTTTGTCTCTGTTGTCATTATTTTTGTTGTTGTTGCTGCAAATGTGACTAACAAATTTCTGTCCAGCAAAAGGATGGTCAAATCTAGGAGACAAACTTGCGGTTCACATTTGGTAGAATTAAAACACAAGAAAGGAAAGTCTATATACAATGGGAGGAAAAAAAATGGTTTAAAATTTTTTTGTTACATTCATATAAAACATGTTATTGGAAATTGCACGAGTGCATGCCATGCTTTCATTACGCCATTTACCATAAAAATCAAACATTCATACCATTCTCATGGTGGTTGAGTTAGTATGTGCATGTATTTTGTGATACTGTGAGCCTCTCATGTTCTTCAACCAAACTAAATGATTTATCTAATCTAATAGCTATATCAGAATATACTAATGATTAATCCCAAGAACATTTTTCCATTTAGGATGTATGGTTTTGCTCATTCCTTCTCTCCTTACACTATAGAAGCCTATCAGGAGACCATTGCAATACTCATTTTCATTGGATTGTCTTTTTGGGAGTTGGGTTCGCATAGGATTATTCCTAAAGAAAACATCATATTAGAGAAGGCTATCTCTCATGACATTCTGTCACGGCCCAAATTCAATCATAGGTCCTGTCATTGAATTGTGTTGTGTTGATACTGTTCAACCATTGTCCCCTTGAGAATGCAAATTTAACAAACCATGTCAATCTAATATTTTGGGTAGTAAATGCCGAATAGTCAAACTAAGTACGTAGATATCATATTCTCGACTATGCTCTTAGGAACTTTACCTTCGCAGCCTAAGAGTCCATTTGGGGCCGCGTTTTTCGCGCAGCGCGGCCCCAAACCGCGAAGCTGAGTTTGAATTTACTGTTTGGATGTGGCGCTTGCGGCCCCCAGCCGCTAAAATAGGCGGAACACTGGCCGCGGGATCAACCCCACGACCTCACGTTGTTGAGCGGCTTTTCCTCATTTGTCCCGACACTCCCCAGACCCCAATCTCGTGATCGAGCCTTGTTGCCCTAATGATCGAACCTTGAACCTTGCCATGGCGGGCTGGTTTGTTGGCCCAATCATGGATAAGATCATCAACGCTTGCTCTGATTACCTGCAAGATCAATATAGATGGCAGAGGGGCATGAAGAAGGAGCTCAAAAGACTGTGAGAAAACCACCCTAAGGTTCAAGCTGTCGTCTTTGCTTCCACCCAAGCACAAATCAGAGATCGAAACCCAACACTTAGCAGCTGGATATGGCAGCTACAAGATGCCATCGATGAGGCAGATGATGTTCTTGATGACCTTGAGTACATGATGCTTGAAGAACAACTTACTAGAAACAAGAAGCAGCAAAAGGTGCGTTCCACCATGAGCTCTTCAAAGAAAATTCACAAACGTGCTCTCAAGATGGATCCCAATTTGAAGTGACTGGAGAAGGTTGTGTAGAAACTTGATAATGTTTTAACTGACGTCAGCACTTTCCTTAATCTCATCGAAAACGCAAAGCAGGAGCAACATGAGCTGGAGCTTTAGTTGTGCAAAGATCGTGAAACAGGATGCTTGCCTAAAAATGATCTCATCTGTCGAGGTGAGGAGAAGGATTTTGTGGCATATTCCTACAAGATCATCAATTTGATAAAGATAATTTAGTCTGAATATGAATTGCATTGGGTTTCATTCAGGAATCTTCTATTGAAGGAGAAACCTTGGAAGATATTGGAGGAAGGTATTTTGATGTATTGGTCAGAAAATTTTTCTTTGATGAGTTTCAATATTATGAGAGAATATATTATAAGATGCTTGATTTATTACATGAATTATCAAAATCTATTTCTTCAGAGGATTGTTTCGGATTTGTGGGAGATAATGTTTTTCTTTCAAAATTGCTAAAAATGTTCCACACTTATTTGTTAAAACTGAAAATTCAGAAGTGTTGAAAATGACCAAAGCTGTTAAAACTCTACATTCTCTTTTTCTTACCAGTGAAAGACATGGACATTTTTTTACTGAAATACTTACTGAAATACTTACTGTACTTACTGAAATTTTTGAAGCATCGAGAAGAATTCGTTTGTTGTTCATATGATCTCCATGTCAGGAAAAAATTTCTGAGGCTATTAAAGATTTGAGACATCTTCCATATTTGAATCTTTTTGTACGTCTCACTCATATGCCAAGATCTCTAAGTAGTCTTTATCATTTGCGATTCATAATCTATAACAAATTATTTTGGGGATTTTGCCCTGATGATTTCTTGCCTGGCAATGTGAGTGATCTTTCTAATCCGCGTTACTTGGAATTGCCCAATAATGTATTTTCTAGTGTACCACTTCAAGAACTAAATGAGTTTAATGTTAAAAATGAGAATGGTTATAAAATTGGGGAGTTGGAACGAACGAGTGAGTTGCGCAAATTAAAAATATGTTTTATGGAAAATGTGAAGGAGGCTATCGAGGCTTGTACTGCAAAATTATTTGAGAAGAGAAACTCAAGGATTTATCCTTTGAATTGAGGTGAAACGTTAGTAAATAATGACTCAGATGTGAATGTGCTTGAAAATCTTAAACCATACAAAACTCTGAAGAGATTGTCCATAGTTTCATAAAAAAAAAATAGTTGGGCTCAGTTTGTGCATATAAAGATATTGCAGAATAGTTCATCCTTTTTTATGTTCTTTTAAATTAAAAGATTCTATTTCGATATGGGGAAAATATATAAAATTAATCTTTTGTGATCTTTGGAACAGGTTTTAGGTAATCTTTGGTAATCGAAGCTTGCTTTGCCTTTCAATGAATTACTGTTGGTATATATTGACAAGCATTATGTAATACTCTTTACGAAGTTATGTTCTTTTTACAATCATCCACACCATGAATGTTTGTTATTAGTACTTCAAATTGTGTTTTATTTGCTTGCAAGTATAATGCAGACTCGAGTGGGAAACATGAGTTAGAAGCTTTAATATGCTTTCAAATGTCATTTTATGATAGGTTGAAATTGTTAAGAATATGTTCGAGGCAGTGAATTGTGTGTTATGTATGTAAATGCACACTTTATTGGCTTATTTAAAATGAAGTAATCATCATTCGCATGAAGATGAACTGGTTACTGCACAATTTAGAGAATTAAACAAGTTTAAGAGTGTTAATTTCATTCTCACTTATTTTGATTCTGAAAATATATTTATCTTGAATTTCTACTTCAAAATATTAAATAAATTCATCATTATTTTAAATTTTTGCATCAGAATTATCAAATAAAATTGTGTCACAATTCTGTCTTAAAGAAATTTACTAAACAGGGGCAGAACGATTAATTTTATAGAAACAACTGCCTCACAGCTATTTTCACACAGCTGCAACAAACAGACAAACAGTTTCACCGCAGCAGCTTTCCTGCAGTTGCTCTGCAATAGCTTCTTGGGGCAGTACAAAGCAGCTTTCCTGCAGTTGCTCTGCAATAGCTTCTTAGGGCAGTACAACTGCAGCTGAAAAACTGAGAAGCTGCAGTTGCGCCAAACAAAGCCTAAGTGTAGATAATGCTTATCAAGACATGTCAAGTAAAATGCAAGCATGAGCTAATATTACGCTTTGCAAAACAAGTTAATAGAGCTCATCAAATGTCGACAACATATCCAATATTATATTTTAAAATCTGATACCAAGGTTAAGGCCGTTTCACATATATTTTAAATTCACGAACAAAACTTGTAGTGAAATCGGTCTAAGAAGTTCACTGCATTCAACCAAGAAGTTTGTTCAACGAGCATTAACAAGGCTGCCTATTGAGGCAACCCATCTCACTGTCTGATAACTTATGTAGCATCCATGTCTGCATATGTAAAGATACATACTTAATGTGCAGTAGATCATTATAAACTTGACAATATGATGAAGGGTTAGCCCATCTAATGAAAATTAAGTAAAGTCTATAGAAACACAACAGTAATCACCACACATTCTATCCAAGCCATAATGCAACAATAGTTAGTATGGTAAGCCATGCATAACGATACTACCATAAAAGAGTTCATTGAGCAGTAAATCCTAGATCTGACTGCGTCTATAATCTTTCCCACCTAAAAGTGTAGGTACAAAGTGGCAGAAGAACTTGCTAAGATTCCATAACAAGTTGTTCCCTCCATTGAATAATCTTTAATTCCTGTTCCTTATTCTGATAACTCCTTTTGCTGAAGCTCACTGTATTGCTAACTATTTTATAGACGATATTTTTTTGTTAGAATTGTACTTTATATAGATGTGCTAGGAGAGTTGAATCACTGTTAAGCTCATTGTCAACCTCATGTTGCACAGCAACTATGTAGAGCCACATCAACTTATTGAAAATCTATTTAACTCACTACTCTTAAGCCTGCATAAACAAGAAGTGGTTGGGAGATGCATTTTGTTTGTCAGCTAGGCTGCTAGTCTTCCACATGCATTACACCACATTTTTTTGGAGTTGCTTAAATAACTATTCGGAAGTAACTTTTCAAATAAATTTACAAGTGGTAGCCAATAACTTCTTTTGGGTTGCTCTCACTAGCTCTTCCAATAAGATTTGCTCCATCAAAATACTGAAAATATCCTTAGACTTGCATTTTCTTGGTGGTAGCCTGCAATGCACAATAGTCTAGTTGGTAGGGGAGTCTTGAATGTTTCTTTTTTGCGGCACTTCCTGCTCAGCCACAACCCATATTTTGCTTAATCATACAATTCAATTTTACTTGAACATAAATAACTTAAATCAGAGTACAACCCATTCTTAGTACCATTATTCATCACTTACAAAGTATTGAAGGTCAACTACCGAAAATTTGGGTATGCAAGAACCTTTTACCCTACTAATAATAAATCTACTACAGTTTATCACTGTATTGTGGGACAAATCACTTGACCTAAAATTGGTTCAACCAAGATTATAATTGCATAACTAAGCATCGATTAAGTAAGAAATTAAAGAAAATATGTTAAAAAATTCAGCATGTAACAGGTGTTCTGGATTTTCCGAACCAGGGAAGATAAAATACATTCTCAATATTTCGGATTATGTAGGTAAATGTTTTGACTTAAGTTTATACAGATAGAAGTTTTTCAAAATTATTTGTAAAGAATATGTTTATAATTCAGACAACACTCATTATTATTGAATGGAAAATGAAAATTCATAAAACTCACTCTAAATAATTCGGATAAATTTAATGATGATGTAAACTGTAGGATCAACAAAGAAGTATGGTTAGGAATGCAACCCTGGAATAGCCATACTAAAATAGTTCAGTCTTCTTATTAATATCCATATCACATTTTTTGTGCTATATTAATTGTGTGATGGTTATTTGGATGCTTGTTGCTTAAAGGCTTTGAAAATATTTTTGCATAGCGGAAGAATACATCAAACTTATCAAGAAAATCATGGAAATGAACATTTACCTAGAAACGGTTTTGAACCTAGAGATCTTTATGATCCCTTCTAAAAGTACACACGCCATTTATTTATTCTATGTTTTTTTCAAATTATAATGCCGTAAAATAGCTCATTAAACAGAGCTTCTCTTGATGAACATGTCATTTGAGCTCAAGCTGTATGCAATTGGCCTATTTTCATAATTTTTGGATGATTTTGCAATATCGATGTTACAAACTTCAAACACTCCTCTCATCTAGTAATTTGTGCAGGTGCTTCTTGCCCTTTGTTTCATGCAGTTGTTTCTTTTCCTGTAAGTTGTCATAGGATTTTTACTGTTATGCTTTCTTTTTTCTGTGAGAAGTTTTTTTTTTTTTAAATTCTTTGATAACATTGTTTAACTTCAGTTCAAATAAGGAGCTCATTTTGTATTCTTAAAATATGTTTTAATTATGATGGAAAAATAAGATTCTTAATGTGCTTGAGCATGTGTTTGTTTTTCCTATATAATAAGAACATAACTTTGTATTCCGGACCCACTATTTAGTAAATTCTGCTTTATGAGGATGTTTTTTAGTAAATTCACCAATACTAGAACCCTATATTGAGGAGAGTTTCATTCATTGATTATTTTTACCTTCAAAAGTTTGATGTGTCCATATTTAAATACTAGTGTTTATATGATAATGCTAGCAGCAGACATCATGCCGTCTCTTTTGAAATGTTGTTATCCTAAATCTCACCAATGTTATTGTTTACTGTAGCTAGCAAAGTGCATGTTCTTGAATAGCTTAATTGTATTGTATCCTTGAGCAGGTGTGATTAAATTTTTCGGGAAAACCATATTCAATTTTTTTTTTTTTTGACGTATCCATTTTTGCCAAATTTTGCTATTTCTGTTTGTAAAAAAGTCTCAGTATTTCTCATGCATATGTGAACTTAAAAGTTTTGCAAATAACTTTGCTTGGGCATTCAAATGTTCCAGCGCTTATTAGGTTTTGTTGTATTGAAGTAAAAGTTTGTTTTGTTTGACCTATGATGTTTTATTTGTATGTTCTGGTATTTTTTTCTCTTTTTCTATCCTGTTTGTGCTATTATATTTTCATTAATATCCCTTTTCTTCACCAAAATTATCAGTCAATATTATGCAGAGTACTGCTTTATGATTTGCAATGTTTTAGGGTGGTTCCATTCACAATGTTACAATAAAGATAATAGTAATTAAATTTCAACGTAGCAGTCCTAGCTGTGCACAGATTTGATTATGTTTTTCTTGTAATTTACCGTGATAGCAGTTCTTGGTCTTTTATGAGTATGCCTTCAGGAATGTTGAACCACAAAGCTACGACTTATTGGTTAAGTTACACCCACATCTAGAATAGGTGAGGGATTCAAGTCCCCTGGCTTATTTTTTGTGCCTGAGTTTGAAATTATGTTATGAGAAATGAAAATTTTCTTGAATTCTCTTAGCGTTGAATTTAGTTATATGCCATTTGATATTTCAAATCAGACAAAACATTTTCACGTCTTATTTCTATTACTACATTTTTCTCATATTTTTGCTTGTCTTAATTTTTGTTGTTGTCATATGCATACTATTTTGAATTATCTCAAACTTCCTTCAAGTGTGTGATTGGTTATTTCTTCACTGAACGCAATATATATGTAGGCATACGCTTACACTCATGTTTGGTTGTAAAGCTTTGTTCTCTATGTTTGACAAATTCCTTTGGTTGGACCATGTTTATATCTTCCTTTACTTCATTGTGGAGGAAAGCTATCTTAGCTTTCCTTTGATAAGGCATAGATTTTTAGTTGTCGCAATACTCATTATCAGATGAATAATTGCTCATTTAACCATAGGAAAAAAAAAAATCTATACATGTTTATGCTTTCTTTCTCTTTGAACTCCTTTTTATCATGTTGAGACATATATTTGTATATTCATTTATTTTGCAATCCCCACTTCTCTTTGGACCTTTTGGCGAGTGTTATTCTTGTGAATTGACTCCAACTACTTGTAGAGATTTTTTCCCACTTGACAAAACTGTCTACATATATGATTTTCTCATATCACTTTTGCTTTCCTGTCTTTGCATGTAACTTGGCAGTAATGACATTGATACTAATGCTTGGTCGGCATTTAAGTTCTTTGCGAGCTTTTGGCTTTAGATTATAGGTATGGTGCGCTCAGACTAATCTTGCATTTCTTGTTTTTATTATGGCACAAGCGGGTTCTCCAATTTAATATACTATAGAGTCGAAGTTTGTTTTGTGTAAACAAATCATTTATCCTTGCATAATGTATATTCATGGAAGATGACTTCTTTACCCTTGATAATCTTTTATCCTCATCTCAAAATTTATAGACAAATTGATACCAAAGTTGACCACCCAAAATCACGCTCAACACGAAAATGCATAAACAGTAAACGACACGAAACATAAACAACTGAAATAACACATTAAGTGATAAAAAAACAACAAACATAAATTAACTAAGCATGAAATAGAAAGAAAAAGTCCTGAATGGTGATGAATACGTCGCGATGATGAGGGGTATCCACTGAAGAACTGCTGGGCAGGGCTAGTGAAACCAGTGATTGCTAGAAGGGGCTAATAGTGGTGGAAAGATGGATGGAAGACCTTTGGAGGGTGGACCGACCTGTAGGAGAGGTCGACTGGCTGGAAGGTTCGACATAGCCTGACGAGAGCGATAGTAGAGGTCTACTGGCTAGAAGGTTGACCTATAGGAGAGGTCGACTGGCTGGAAGGTTCGACAAGGGCTAACAAGAGCGGTGGAATGATTGCTATGGGAGACCGACAAAATCTGTGGTAGGTGGGAGGAGAGGCGCAGGCAAGGTGTTGAAAGAGTGAGCTGGAGGATTGCTGACGACGGAGAAGGGTATGGAGGTAGTCAACACCGCAGGTGAGGTATTGCCGAAACACCACCCACTGTTGGATACAACCCTCATACGAGGGAACACCGTAGAGGCAAACCTGGACTCTAAAATCACAAAGAAAATCCACCGCTTAGAATTGAGAAAGAATGTGTGTATGTAGGAAGGGGAGAGGGAGGTAGCCTAGGAAAGGAGGAGAAGAATTGGAAGGGATTTGAATAGGCGAACAACGACTAGGAAGTGGATGGGGCGCTGCAACCTCTAGAAAGTGGTGGAGGTTTAGGGCACTGGCGGAAATGATCGTGGAAAGGGAAGGGGAGTCTCGTGATTAATGAATTTGGACCAGTTCGGTCCATCGCCCTCGCTGGACCGATCGAATGGCCACACCTAGTCGACGTATATGACTTGCCTGCTGAAATGGGCGCGGGCGGGAGCGTCCCATGTCACAAACTCATTATCTTTTATATTCAATGAAATGATACTTTTTAGATTTATTATTGGTGGTTTGATCAAGAAACTTATGTGAGGCCATTAAAAGCTTTAAATTAGACAAGCTTATCTTATTTTCTATTCAATATTCTTCAAGAATGTGCAGTTGACAAACCTCGATTGGGCAGCTATGCTTTTGTGCTTATTGTATCCACTTAGGTCTTTGAAGAGTTACATGCAGTCTCATGCTCATTGTGTGTTAATTAAAAGTTGTTTTCAATCTTATATTAGTTCTTTTTTTTGTGGAATTTTTGAGATTGTTCTCTTACTACTAATCTCGTGAGCTTCATACTAGTTTTGAAGTTTGTGAAGTTCTACTCCCAATTATTGATTGATTGCAAACATTTGTTCTATGACTTGTCAGTCAATTCTTGCCTTCTGTCTCTTCTATGTTAATCTCCGTCTCTTCTCCGACTCCCGTTCTCTTTGTATGCCTGCAAATAGATTTCACCAATGAGCAAGGTATAAAGGGATGCACTTAATCCTTTTGTGTCATGCATTCAGATCCTTTGGTTATGATGCAGAAAGTTTTAATTGTATTTTTGTATTTTTGCAAGAATGCATTGTTTATTACTTGTACATCATTTTTGATCTAGTGGGAAGTAAATCTTCCCTTGTTTTGTTTGTTTTTGTTGGAGCTAATATTTTGAAAACTTACATAATTTTTTTGGTGCTATGGAACAATTTATTTAAGTCATGATGCCCTCTATTCATACATGTTTTTCTCGACTTGGTGGCTTGGCTTGACATAATTTTGATACCCTTTTTGCGTTCATTTGAGATAAAAAATTCTTATTCCAAAAACAAATTTTTAGTACCTATAAAATATTTTTTGATTCTGTCCCTATTCGCTTTGCATACAGAAGATAGTGTCTACTGTCCACAGAACTGGTGGTCAATATTTATTTATTTTAAGAGTAACTTGAGTACCAGACTATTACGACAATTAAGATCGAGTAGGCAAGTTATGTCTTTTCTTAGGTTCATAGCTCAATTAAAGGTATTTTGTTAAGGATTCTGATTATTATTATCTATTACAGTTGATCAAGAAATATAAATCAGGGAATTGGGTTTTCCGTAGTTGAACTAATATATTCCATAAAAACCTGGCTGTTCTTATTTTTCATTGCTGATTAGATGATGCTTGCAAGGTTTTTGGGTTGACTTTTAAGTAGCACCAGGCTGTCGGAGATCATTGACACTCGCAAACTATAACTTGCAAGTAAAATGCAAAACATAAAAATGATTTTTATCAAATTTGTGCAGACTTCTGCCATGTCGATTTATGTGCCGACAAGACAAGTTTTCTAATTTAAGCAAAATGTATGACATTTGAGCTTTTGCCGAGCAAAATATTTTGAACTCTTTATAGTGCTTGGATTATATGTTTATCTTAAAATGGCATCAACATGCAAGAACCACTCCATCTAGTTAGAGGGGTTTTCAAGAAAGCCTATGCTATTAATATTGCTCATAATTAAGCAAACATGCTACTTGAAGGCTCCTAGCTTTGATACCTGGTAATTTTATCAAGAGATCATGGCCAGAGGGTTCAACCATTTGTTTGAACCTTGGTTACTCAAGATGTTAAACCCTTGTGCCTCAAATTTGTTAACAAGTTGGCGAGCCTTGAAAATCATTATCAATGCATCTATATGGCTCACAGCAAAAGTTTTCATGCTAGTAAGTGGGGAACTCCCTTTTGATGGTGCGATCATGCCTATCATGCTGCTTAAAAAATTTCAAACAAGTGGCAAACTCCCTTAAGATCATGTTGTTTTTTCCAACATGTTCCTCTAAATGATGATCTTCGGTAGAAGGACTAGCCCTAGAATTCTCAGCTATAAACCTGAAGCTGTCTATTTTTGCCATAGTTTGACCTGTCGTTGGTTTCTTCAGTAAGCTTTCCCTCTAGGTCTATGAGGCATATTTGGATGATACAATTTATTGCTATCGACATGATTCCTTGAATTTGGTTGACCCATGTCCACGCAAACTAAAGATGAAAAAAATCATGAGATATTCATCCGGTTTGTTATCATGAGATATTGATCGGAAATCATCGTCTAGCTTATAGAGTAGTTTTAATCAATAGTTTTCACTTGTATTTTTTAAATGGATAACTAGAAATATAAAGTCTTCGTAACGACGAGGCCTTCTCTATTTTTGCCATAGTTTGACTTGTCATTGGTTTCTTCAGTAAGCTTTCCCTCTAGGTCTATGAGGCTTATTTGGATGATACAATTCATTGCTATCGACATGATTCTTTGAATTTGGTTGACCCATGTCCATGCAAACTAAAGATGAAAAAAATCATGAGATATTGATCTGCAATCATCGTCTAGCTTATAGAGTAGTCTTAATCAATAGTTTTTACTTGTATTTTTTAAAGGGATAACTAGAAATATAAAGTCTTCGTAACGACGAGGCCTTGTTCTTGTAGAAAGCCACAAAGCCTTCCTTCACTATGAAATGCAAAGTAATATTTATTTATCTAATGTCTTTTGGTGATCAGCATATAATCACTCTTATTATTTTATTGCCATTATGATTCTATACTACAATCATTTGGAGTGACATTTACTTATAAAAAATTAATTGAAACTAGATTTGAGTGGTTTAGCACGTGCAAGGAACTGTAGAAAATCCACTTATTAGATTATCATATGTCTGTAAGATTAATAATGAAGTTATATGAAGTAGCAATGGTAATCTTAAGGTGACATGCATAAAATATCTTCAAAATGATTCACAAAGAATTTGTTGAACACCTCTGGAAATACTATTTAGAAATGAATAAAAATGAAGATTTTTATAGTTGATCGTAAAGATTGGATTATTACAGTATAAAGGTGATGATGGGTGGTGATTATCCTACCTGTTTTTTTATAAAAACGCTTTAGTTATTGCATGCTTTCAATCTTGATTGTTGCTTATTTATTGGCTATGACTGCTTCTGTTACATAAATTTATTGGCTATGACTTTTTAGTGTATCACACGTTTTATTGCAATGATGAGCAGGAACATATACACCGTTTCTTCTATTTTTAAATGTTTCTCTGTTTTCTTATGCTGATTATCCTGTTTAATTGCAGATATGGCATTGCCAAGTGCAGCTCAACCAAGTCCACAAGTGGTAACTTGCACATTTTGATCGGTCTCGGATCGAGGCTGCTTGATGATTATTAGTTTTAATACCCTAAATATTTTATTATGAATCATTTATCTTAAAAAAAATGAACATGCAGGTTGGGGGTGCCTTTGTTCAACAATACTATTTCGTTCTTCATAAATCACCTGATCAGGTCCATAGATTTTATCAGGATTCAAGCATCTTGAGTCGTCCAGATTCAGATGGGATGATGGAATCAGTGACAACAATGCAAGTACGAATGTAGTCTAATTTCTCTCTTTTTTAGTTTGCTGGTTAAGATTGTCTTTTTATATATATTTGTAATTGACTATGATCTTATTCCAAAGGAAAGGTTTTTAGAAAGATTATTGAAATTAAATTTGGTGGTCTTAATGATCTCTTTTTAATAGTGTTCTTCATCGGCTTGCTTCACATGTGCTTTCATGGTTTTTGTCTTCTCATTGAGAGAACATTTTTGGACACAATATAAGTGATTCCTTTAATGGAAACGTGAACAATTTACTAGTTTATTTTGAAAATTTGAAACCCTGTGGGGTGGTTTTGGTAAAGTGATTGTATGGTAAAGGATACGTTTGGTACATTAGCTTTTTTGGGCTGTAGATGCATCAAAATGATCCGATTTAAATGCAGTTAAAGGTCTTACAGACCAGTCTGAACGTGATGTTATTAAAATAAAGAGCATTTACATACGTAGCACATAATTCTTATGTATTTACATATCTTACACCTAAACTTTCATATTTACATACAGAGCACTCATATCTTTAATATCACAACAAAAATATCACTATTAGGGCTTTTTAAAAGTGAAATACATCTTTTCATGCATAGGTTTAATGCACCAAAGTGCTATGTATGTAAATATGAAAATTTACTTGTGAGATATGTAAATACATAAGAATTTTGTGCTGGGTATGTAAATCTCCGTTAAAATAACTGTTTTGTCATGATCTTCATCTAACAAAATATCTTTTGCATTCATCTGGAAATTGATAGCATGCAACAAAATTCAGTCAGAGCAAAGATATCATTGTTTCAATAAGTATGCGTTGGCAGTCTCATATTTGTTGGAATACAGTTGAGTGCTTTTATGTTTTGTTTTGTCTTGTTAAAATTATTGGCCTCTGGATTTACAATATCGTAGTTGCAAAATTGATGCTTTCCTGGTAGAAGGCACTTATCTTAGCTATGAGTTTAGTAAAATTTTGTTTAGTTACATTACAAGAATTTCATCCTTACTCTTTTCTTCTTTGTTTTCTCAGAAGCTGTGCATTCTCTTTTATATTTTGGGAAATTTACATACCTAGCACACAGTTCTTATGTACTTACATATCTCACCCCTAAATTTTTATGTTTACATATATAGCATTTTGAGTACTTACATATCTCACCCCTAAATTTTTATGTTTATTTCACTGTTAAAAGAGTGGTAATAGTTGCTTTAAATCTATGCATGAAAATGTGTATTTCACTGTTAAAAGAGTGGTAATAGTGTTAATTTTGATGTGACTATTAAAGATTTGTGTGTGTATAGATATGAAATTTTAGGCGTGAGATATGTAATTACTTGATAGTTCTGTGCTTTGTATGTAAACGCCTGTTAATTTTTGATGAATGCTGATTCTGCTTGTCTTCTACACTGGAGCAGGCCATCAATGACAAGGTTTTGTCAATGGACTTCAGCGAATATACTGCAGAGATAGAGACTGCAGACTCACAGGCATCATACAAGGATGGTGTATTGGTTGTTGTTACAGGTTCCTTGACGGGAAGGGATAATATCCGGCGCAAATTTACCCAGACGTTTTTCCTTGCTCCACAGGAAAAAGGTGGTTATGTCGTCCTAAATGATATTTTTAGGTTTGTAGACCCAAGTCAGCCTAGGGGAGCAAATCAAGTCACGATTAATGGTACAAACGGTGATGCCTCAGCCGCTGCTTTGACTCCCGAACCAGGTATAATTTGTGTACTATGCCTTTTTGTTTCAGCTCTATTTTTATTGGAAAATTTACATGCAAACCACTCAATTCCTATATATTTACATATCCAACACCTAAACTTCGATTTTTTACATATATTCCATCTTTTCTATGCATAAAAAGGTTTATTTTACTATTTTAAAGTTAAAAAAGTATGTGATATACAAGATTAAGGTGGCATAAATGTTAAACGCAAAGTTTAGATGTTAGATATGTAAGTACATAAGAATTGGGTATTATGTATGTAAATGTTCTTTTTTTATGTTTTTTTAATTGTACCATTTGTTCATTGTGTTCAATTTTTGTTTTATTTAAAATTATGTATGTTTAATCTATTATTTTGGCAGAGTCGACTTTGGGTCAGGAGCCCCAAATGGTCACTTCAGCTGAACCTGAAACCTTACACACTGTAGAAGATGTTGTTAATGCTGAGGAAGTTATCAAGCCTCCTATGGAAAATGATCCCCCAGAAGTATCAATTGTGGTTGCTTCAGATCCAGAGGTCCATGTAATCCAACCTGATGAACAACTGGTTTCTGAAGTTGCTGTTTCTGTGTCTCAAGAGGATGAGCCTAAGAAGTCTTATGCATCAATTGTGAGTAAATGAACAACTGTTGCATCATGAATACATTTTGAGTAGTAATAATGAATTAGTCTGTTTTATAGAATTTTGTACGGTTTACTTGTAATATTAAAAAGTGACGAAATAGCTGCTTGTTTATTTGAATTTATACATGCATAATAAAATTATATTGTATAAATGCACACAAATGCATAATTGTGCTCGTGCATTGCAAAGAGAATATTTGTGATTCAAACTCATATTCTTGATGCCCTAATGAAAAGGCAGTCTAACCATTACCTTACAACAACTCATGACAGATTATAAATCGGTAAATGTATGAACATATCTATGGTTGTTTGGATGTGTATTTGTCCTAGCGTCTGTAATACATGAACATATCTATATGGTTGTTTGGATGTATGTTATGTTTGGAAGATTTACATGCATTATTATATTTTTACCCATCTATAACACCTAAACTTCAATTTTTACATATACACCATAGTGCCTATGCATGAAAGATGCATTTCATTTTCTAGAAGGTAAAATAGTGGTATTTTTCAAGTGATATGAAAGATTTGAGTGGTATTAATGTAAAAAGCAACATTTTATGAGCGAGATATGTAAATGCATAAGAATTGGATGGCATGTATGTAAATTCCCTTTTATGCTTTCATATTTTAACTGTTTTTTCGTGACATTGCGTGTTTACTGATAGACAGATAGATTCTTACCCTGCTTGTGAGCATGGATGATGAACTTGTCCATCATGTATCTAATCATGCATGCGATAGTGCAAGTTATGATATATATTTTAATTTACATTCTTCCCCATGGCTTCACATGCATGGCTAGAATGGGTTTTAGTTTGCTTTATTCTGCATAAATGGAATAAATTACACATTAAGAATATGGCTCTGAAACCTACTCTTTTGTGTTTATCATCTACAGGTCAAGGTTTACAAGGTCAGCCAACCATTGGTGTCGAATTCTACGCCGGTCTCTAAGACGAAAGTTTCCTTGCCAAAGGCAACTCCTCCCCCTGCCAAACTCGATGCCCTAAACCCCGAGAAACAGCCCGCCACTTCTTTGAAGCCTTCCACTACACTCGAGGCCACAGTTAGTACTGGCGACAACGTGCTTGAAAACAATTCAAACGATGGTATTTTCGCAAACCATAATCCTTATATTTTCTCTGCGTTTTTTGGAATATTGCCATTATTGTCTTTATTTTATGTTATTTTATTTTGTTTTTCCCCCTAACATTGTTTTTATTACAAGCAGTTGAGGGACATTCCATATATATTAGAAATTTACCCTTGAGCACAACACCTGAAGAGGTTGCGGGTGAATTTAAGAAATTTGGACCAATCAAGCCCGGTGGTGTCCAAGTTAGAAACCACAAGGTTTGCTTGATTTTGCGTTCGATATGTCTTTTACTTTCTTTTACGTTGCTAGCGGAGGTTTTTATGGCATGTCTTTCAGGTGGAGCGTTTTTGTTTTGGTTTTGTTGAGTTTGAGTCGTTGGATTCCATGCAAGCGGCAATCAAGGTACTCCACTTCCCAACTCTTGTTGGAATATATTGTTCCCATACTTGTAAGTTTTTATTTAACTGAACTTTTCATTATGATGTTGATTCAGTTTTGGTATATTTGTAATTTTCGGATTTTGCTTATATGCTGAGGGAATTATACTGACTAGTGATGGTGCATTGAAAATAGTGCTGCTGAAATAATATTTTGTATTTTGGCTGCAAATTTTCAGTCTTCTCCCATAACCATTGGAGGACGTCAAGCTTTTGTTGAGGAGAAGAGAACCACAACACGAGGCAAGCCTCCATTTTATATTTGGAAGATTTACATTCATTACACTCCATTCCTATTTATTTACATATCAACATCCAAACTTTATATATATGCCCAACATAAGAGTACTAACTCAGAACAAAATTCTCTTAAATCTTCTAATCCTGATCTTTAATCCTCAGTCATCAACGGTGTGGTTACCAACACCAACAATGGCGGCGGGAGAGGCCGCTATCTTGCCGGAAGAGGGAACTATCGGAACGATAATTTCAGAGCTCGGAGCGGCTACGGTGCCAATCAGGGTTACGGCA